AAAATATTAATGTTAATTGCTAAAAAGAATCATACAGTAAAACTAGATTTATTAATTATATACTTTACAAATATGTATTTATTTGTTTGCTATTAGAATAATAATAAAGTTTTAATATATAATATTACAATGCATTTGAAAATTATATACAATATAATTATTGCAAATTTTTATATACTAAAAAAAAAATATATACAGTTTAATCTTGTTATAGTCACAGCTTTGGGAAACAAAATCCAGGTGATTATAAAAAGAAGTGACTATATAAAAAAACCTTTATATAATCACTATTATAATAAAAAAAAATTCAGTGATTATATAGAGGTAACTTAATAATTATACTATTACATTTTGTTATAATGCAAGAAATCTATGTAAAAACTACAATCACTTCTTATAGAGACAAAGTATAAACAAATAACTTGTATATAAAGTATAAATACAGCAACACATTAAATATTAACTTAAATAAGATTATAATATCTTGTCTCTAAAGTATAATTGTGGTTTTTAGATTTCTTGCACCATAATGTACTGGGGCTTCTGATATACTAATTAATCAAAATCATGTGAGATGCAAAATGGCAGGGCCAAAATTTCGACATTTTTACTATCTTGAGATAATCGATTATGGTTTTTTTTTTACTATAAAAGCGAAACTTGTAATTTTTTTAATGACAAATTATTAACGTCAAAAAGTGAATTTTGTTTTGATAAATAGGGGCCTGCCACGTTGCTTAAATCATACGAATGAACGTGTATTTGGATTTGGAATTAGAGCAGTTACGCCTAGCGAAGTGTTGTATATATTAATACACATAATGAAAAAAATAAGCCGCTTCCAAAAAAACAAAATTTAATATAAAGTAAGTTTTATCATTTATTATGACAAAATTATTAATATCTAATCAACAATTACATGGTTACGATTCTTATTTTGTTGATGTTGGTTTTTGGATTCAAAAACTTTCGCAATTTTCGCTAGCTCCTCATCTCTTTTTCTTTTTTTTTTTACATGTTCTGTCTCATCACACGACTGCGATTTTGAATTTTCTCGCATTACATAATAATTCCATTCTATTGCTTCACATAACACAAAAACAGATTTCTCAACAAAAATTAGTTCACCAGCAACAGAAAAAATAGTTCGACGATGTGTAGCTTCAGCTACATTCGAATGGTGACCTTTCGGATTCGGATTATACTTGCATATAACTGACAAATCAGTGGTTTTTCCATTCATACTATTATAGACTCCCTTTTTTAAACGAAAGATTGCACTGTCGCCATGTGGTTCAGAAGGGTCTTGAACAGGTGCGGAAAAAATTCCGAAAGCAGGTGCAATTGGCAAATCATAAATGGTAGGTTCGTTTTGTAATGTTTTAATTTGCAAAGATACACTTTGAGAAATCGTAACCTTAATTTTAAATATGAAATTAAATTAATCATTATATTCTTTTATATAGGTTAATATGAACTAGAGGTGCAGGCAAATCGTCCCAATGATTGCCATAACTTTACTGTAACGTGCCGTTATAACTAATAATACATTCGGTAAAGTTACAGCAATCATTGAGACAATTTGCCTGCACCTCTAGTATGAACAAGTTGGGTTTTATGTTTACATTTAACTCATCTTCGAATGCAAAACAACCAATTATCATAGTGATAGTTTTTTCGGTCAATTCTTCAATAAGCGATGATTCTCCCATATAAAATGCTTTAAACTTATATTCAGCAAATTCATTAGTTGCTGTTCGGTAGACCGCAGACCCGGTACAATATTTTCCTGAACTTGAAACAAAAACACTTTTTATGAAGGAAATAGCGCAGAAGATAGAGGCCATTTGTTTCGTTGTAGTAAATTGTAAAATTGTTTATTTTATTATTTTTTTGCTATCACGAAGACTACTTTTTATAATAAAATTTAATTTTATTTACAACCTATTTTATTTTAGCGAGTTATCAATAATAAAATTATTTTTAAAAATGCTTTTCAAATCAGTTTGTAAATCGAATTTTCTAAATGCAGGGATCGTTTACGTGAATT